ACTCTAACATTAATAGAATATGTTGTAATTAAAAGAGTTTCCTTTAGTGCCCTGACCTCAACTTTCCCTCTGGGTCCGGTGCCATTTCTCCGTCTGCGGCGCGTCCATAACGACACGAGCCAAAACATCTCTCAGGACGATGACAGATGGATGACAGTTCAACCACGGAACCACACCATGACAAACGGCCTCTAATCGCGGGATGGCGAGCAGCGGCCGAGCTAATGGTGATTAGGTAAAGGCTCCAGAGAGGGTTCATCCCAGAGAGAGGGGGGCGGACTCAGAGGACCCCCCCACCTCCACCTCCACCTCCCCAGGTCTGAAGTGACATCCACAGGCAGATCCAGCTCCAGTTTAAAGGAGACGTGTTGTGGTTAAAGCTGAGGGACCTGACTTAGCGCTACATAATAAAATCTGTGTCCGGTCGATCGCTTTCAAAACAGTTTTCTTCACTTGTTTCCGCACGTGTTTTTGGGGGCTTCAGGCAAAGACTTAGCCTGGTCGTACCACACCTTAGTACAAATTTCATTTCATACTAAGGTCTGGAGGTGCTCCATTGAGCTCTGTGAACAGGTGGGAGGGGTTAACTCCTTTTGCAGATTGAAACGATTGGATCCGAGTTTACCGTGACGTATGTAATGCGCCCGAGTGAGTTGTTAGCATTAGCATTTAGCCTAGCCATCTCCTTTGCTGCTAACGGAGCCAGTGGGGAGTAGCGCCACAATCTTGACCAGCGACTACACATGCTAAACATTCCTCTTGCTCCTGCTTCAATTTCTTGATAGAAACAGACCGGAATACTTTACTATCGCAATCTTCACCATTGCCAAATAACAACCTGCCCGTTCGGCGCAAACTCTTGACGTCACCGGCACCGACCTACAATGCGCTCTCTGAGTAGCCGGTCGAAATACGACCGATTGTAATCTCTAACACAGGGACCAGACCCAGACGTTGAAATGATGATTGAGCGGAGTGTACGGATGGCTATGGCCAGGCTAGCAAAGACTCAGACTCAGACTTGGACTTAGACTTTATTTATCCACTGGAGGAAAGGAAAATTGCTTTGTCACAGTAGCTTGCATAGTATTCCACAATAATAATGACAATGAAAATAACAATAGAGTAACGATCTGAAAATAATAACAATGATATTGTCTACACCTTTATTCATCCGTTTCTGGGTTGGGGGGTGGCAATCATAGGCTTCAGGCAATGCAGGGTTAAGTGTCTTGCCCAGGGACACAATGACAGCAGACATCAGTATAGGTAACATGGGTCGTGGTGGGATTGATTCATGTCCCAAGACCAGTGCTCTACCAACTGAGCTACTGTCGCTCCAGGTAATATTGTGAGAATAGAATAATCTGGATTGAGGTATTCAGTGGGGTTAAGTGTCTTGCCCAAAGACACAATGACAGCAGACATCAGTGGGAGTCGGTGGCGAAGGTCTTGAGGGGGGATCGAACCCACAACCTTCAGGCTCAAAGGCCAATGCTCTACAAACGGAGCCACTGTCGCCCCAGCTTCAAACAGAAGTCAAAATGGTCAATCACTAAGTGCTGCTGGGAGCCATGGTAACCAAGGAACGTCCTTCGCTTGTAGAGCAGAGTAGGGATGGTTGAAATGAAACCCTCCAACACCAAGTTCATAGAAAAAGTGCAGATGAACAAAAACCAAGAATCCAAACTTTTAAAATTGCACCAAATTGCTTTAAATGTGATATTTCCCAGAATTATGCACAAAACATATGGAGTCCTGTCTGCCGTCTGGTGAAATTACAATCCACACACGCCACACACACACACACACACACACACACACACACATACACGTTTTTGTTACCTGGTGGGTCCCTTTGACAGGGCCGTTCAGAATGGGACCCATAGACATAATCTTTTTTTACCAAGACTTTAAGTAATACAAAACAGTCAATAGAAACCAAACAACTATTTTAAAGGAATTTTATTTTAGATTTTGTTTTCGAATTGCAGTGATTCTATTTTTGACATAGAATTTAATGCCACTCCATGTCCGATGTCTAAGGTCATCTGGTGAGGCATTAATGCAGGCCAGGCAGTGAGACTTCCCAGGGACCTTTCCAGTCTGTATGAAAGGTGTCATGGTCTTCTCCACAGCCTTCACCTCAGATGCAGACCATGGCTTTCTTACACGTTCTAGGGAGAGAAATAAAAATATATTAGCAATATACACTCCCAGGGTTAGGACCAAGCAGCCTGGCTGTAATCCCCCACCTGGTACACTTACCAGAAGGGGCACTGCCACTACCATGGGGTGCATCTGGATGAATGGTTGAAGGTTCTCCGCTTGAAGTTTCTTTTAGCCCGTCCGTTTGTGAGAGGATCTCTACTGCTCTCCCTGTCGCACAGAAAATAAAAATACAAGTGGCCTTTAGGGGAAAAAAATCATACATATTTTAATAATATCAAGAATTACCTTCAGGCTCAATTTGTATCTGGTCGAGGCTCTTTCCTTCGAATTCCGTCACTCTTCCCTGCTCCATGGCCATCAACACTTTGCTGATTTTGGCCAGCTCCAGTGTCCCCTCTGGTAGTCTGTAATATTGCCTGTGGATGCGAATGTCATGGCCGAGGAAGTTGGCAAGTATGTCCATCTCATTCTCTTTCATATTGAGAACTGTAGACATAGTAGCTATGTGCTTTCTAAGTTTGGTTGAGGATAGCATCTCTGGATGCACCGCACCACATTCTTTGGCTACCTGGCGTAGGGAGTCTGATCCCCTGATGTGGGTGTCTGCGCCCGGGCGGGAAAAGAAGTATGGGTTATGGTCAGAGATGGAACAGGCCCTTCTGTTCTCCACCAGCACCTCCATCGAAGCAATCATTTCAGGAGTCAAAAGAACCGGCACTTTCCGACTTCTTTTCCCTTTAATTTCAATGCGTTGAAAATGCTGACACAGCTTTTTCTCAAGTTGGGACAGTCCCAGAGCAATGTCAGAATGGATCCCAGTCTTACTTCTTAAGGTAAAGGCTGTCAGTGGCATCTTTGAAACCTCACCTTCCCTTCTTCGATTGAAAATGATGACCTCACAAAGAGTCAAAACTGCCAGTTTAGACCAATGCTTAGACGTTGGCTCACTTATTAGGGTTTGCACATATTCAGGTCGACATACCTCAATATGTGCATGCATGGCTCTAACGTCCTCAGTCAGAGGGAGCAGGTCCGGAGTGTTCCACTTGGCTTGCCGGAGGGTCTGTAGGGCAGCAGAAGAAACACAGACGTCCCACCTCTTCTCAAAAAGCAGCCGGCTTCGTTGGAGGTTTTTAATAAATAGTTCATCAACACAATGCTCCATTTTTGAGTCACATTCAAGAATATCTGCTAGCTTTCTGAGGCTATGGCCGAGTTTGAGGGCCAAGGATGGAGTCTTGTATTGATTTGTTTCCTCATCATATCCAGCCACAGACCTGACTGCATCAATCACATGGTTAAAGTTGGAAGGAATAAAGAAATCCTTAATTGTTTTCAGTTTCCCTGCGGTTTTTGCTTCGTTAATTAACCTACCGACTTCTCTCATTTTCTGCCTAATGTAATCATGCTTTGTCTTATCATGCCCGTGTTTTAAGTACAGGTGCTCTCCGAGTCTCAGAATCCCCTTTTCTGCTTTGACAACACCCGTGACCTCATCCTGATGCATTGCCGAAATTAAAGACCACAGCTTTTTGCTGATGCCCTCCGGTACAGGCTGGGCTAGGGAGCAGAGGGACTGGACCCTACTTCTACCTGGTTTAGCCTGGGCATCTTTCTGTGAAAGCCGGCACCTGGCCACATGCCTCCACAGCGACTTTCGCTTAAGCAATGCCCCACAGTCTATACAGTGCAAAAACTCACTGGATTTAACTGGGGAATTTGGCTGTTTAGCTGGGACTAAAGTTCCAATGCCGGCCTTTAAAACCTCAAAATTGTGCTCACGGTTTCCACTATTCCTGATCAAATCAAACTGAAGTTTACGTGCTTTAGATTTCACAGGTAGAGCCAATGCTCTGGCTACGTCACTTTCATTTCCATGTTTTCTAGTCAAATGACGGGACATTTTGTGGCAGGACATTGAACAGTAGAGGCAGAAGTGTCTCTTGCTGTAAACTCGCCCCCCATTTTTCTTCTTTTGCAGCTGCATGATAACAATCTTATTTGCCTTTGGTTCGTCACTTTCCGAGTCTTGAAGAAAAGTGTTTTTGATTTTTCTTTTTCCATACTTTTTTACAGGTTTCTTCTTGACAGTTAAATCGTCAGAATCTGAGTCGACTTCATCAATTAGGGACTCTTGACTAAGCTGCACAAACAACAAATAATTTGTAATCATTCTATATAACAATTTGAAGTCATGACTTGTAGTCAGCACTTACCAGTGGTTTGTAAGCGTGCGCTTCAGTGTGCTCCTCCATGATTTCTTGCAGCCTAATGAACCACACACTTGCACCTTTTTCTAGCCTGACACCTGATTTCCTCTGTTGTGCTGCTCCATGATTGGCTCCAGCCTGCTGGACTGAAATTGCCCCAGTGTGCCCCTCCTTGATATCCCGCAACCCACCACCAGGGTTCCGACACATAACACACTTTTTTCAGGAAAGTAAACCTCCAGGGGTCCTTTCCATATTTTTACAGAGACTGCATAAGGACCGTTAGAAAAGCATTACCCATTGATTATTAAGCTTGGACCAGTGGGGTCCGGTGTTCGGGCCCCACCACGTAAAACCAGTCCCCATGACGTGAGTGGAATCTCAGGTTATGGAACCCACCAGGAGTTGAAAACAAGTGCACACACACACACACACACACACACACACACACACACACGCCAAAAAAAACAACTTTTTAGATTAGATTTCAAAGTTAGCATAATGTCCCTCTAACATAATGTGACAGAAATGGTTCCAGTCTTGGCTAAAGTATAGGGATCTTTACGTATCACAAAAAAATCTCCAATGAAGGTTGAAAATTGGCAAAACGTCGGCGAGATGGAGACGGATAGATGGAAGCTAAAAATACCCCAGGTGAGATAATAGATAACACAATGTCAAATAATGAAATGACAGTAATTTATAACTCTGCGCTTCTTAAAAATGAAATAAATTGTCCCGTTCTGTAATGACACTGTCACATCTCCCACTGCTAATGGAAAAAGCCAGGAACCCAAAACCGTGCCTCTGACTGACAGCAACTTATGAGCAAAACCTTGGCCTGTAGCACGTTAAGCTAACCGCTAACATGGCTCCTGGCTGCTCCCGTGCTAGCTCATTACCCATTGTGTTAATTGAAGCCACGCTAGCTGAACTATATAAAAGCGACGGAGCGCCCCGCAGCTACGCAGGTAATAGAATTGTGGCAGGGCGATCCGTAAAGCCGACTTGTTTTAATAACTTTGCGAGATTATGTTTAATAAGCGGGCCTTAAATGCCGCTTTCGCCCGGTCTGGCAGAAGCAGAGGAAGGTCAAACGTGATATAATGTGGGAATGAGGAGCTGGACTGTGGCTGTAGGGGCGATGTGATCACCTTGTCTGAGTGGAGGGAGGTTCAGCACAGGGTCTGGCTCAGTGCAGGTGTGGACGAGGAGAGAGAGAGACAGGGTAGAGATCAGGAAGCTCATTCATTAACATGGTATGGTTTAATATGGTCAGAGATAGAGAGAGAGACATGAGGAGAGCTGGGATCTACTCGTTCATTTAAATGGGAGGAGAGAGAATGGGAAGACCAGAACAGAGTTTTCCAAGACTCTTTCCATGGAGCAAAGTAAAATATTGTCTCCTCATCTGTTCAAAAAAATGTTTTCTCTTTTGTTTGAGATACAGTAGCAGCGATCACACCTGTCTGAGGCCAAACATACAGTACAAGAGAAAAGCTTGGGTACATAATTCAACATTGTAAAGAGTTTGGTTCTATCTCTAGTTTTGACTCTTTTTAACTCCAAGATAAAGTGAACAGATCCTTTTTTTACATAACCATAAATTAGAATTTAAAAAAATCTAGCTTTAGCATAATAAAGTTACTAGTTTAGATGACTGTATGTAGAGAGAGAGTGAGAGAGAGAGAGAGAGTGAGAGAGAGAGAGAGAGTGAGAGAGAGAGAGAGAGAGCGAGAGAGAGAGAGAGAGAGAGAGAGAGAGAGAGAGAGAGAGAGAGACAGACAGAGAGAGAGAGAGCGACAGAGATAGAGAGAGAGAGAGAGAGAGAGAGAGAGAGACAGAGAGAGACAGAGAGAGAGAGGGAGAGGTAAAAAGTACATTGTCTTTTAATAAGACCAAAGTCCAGTAACGGCTGACCACACATCACACCATCACGTGTCGAGTCTCTCGCCAAAACATAGAACTAGCTTCTTTATACTTGTCTTATATAAGAACCTTCTAAGTCGTGTGTATCTTGCTCCTCATTCAAACTGTTGTGTTTTTTTTCCATGAAAATATTTCCCTCAAATGAGTTTAAACCACAAAGTGTGTGTATGTGTACATAGATACATATACTGTATATATGGATATGTGTGTGTATGTGTCTGTGTGTATATGTGTGTGTGACAGCTGCAGTTGTTTGGTCTGGGACGTCCCGCCCTGGGCTCAGTCTGGGCTCAGTCTGGGATCAGTCTGGGATCAGTCTGGGATCAGTCTGGGATCAGTCTGGGATCAGTCCGGGGTCAGAGTGAGGTCTGGGGAGGAGCTTATCGCTGCAGACTCACACTTGGGTTTCACTGCTGTGATTGTATCGTCCCAGGAGCTAAAGCCAAAGTCAGAGTTCACCGGCTGAACAAACAGGAGATAAAGAGGTCCTCAGCGGTGACATCACCACCTCAGCAGTGACATCACCACCTCAGCGATGACATCACCACCAACGACACATTCATAACAACATAAGACTGTAGCAGATCTGTACAGTTCATCTGGTCTCCCCACACCTTCTGTCTCAAAGCTCCGTTCTCAGAGCTGTTCTGATACAGTCTTTATTTCAGCCGACATCTGTGATCCGTGCTGTTCGGCCTGAGTCTGACGAGAACCAGGAAGTACTGTACCACCACTTTAGTCCTGGTTTCTGCTTCCTCTGGCTCTCCACGGCCTCGCGCCAAAGTACATCCGTGACATGTTAGTACCATATGAACCAATGTTGAGGAGGACAGGGACTGGTCTCTTTCTGGTCTCTCTCTGGTCCCTCTCTGGTCACTCCCACTGGTCTCTCTCTCTCTGGTCTCTCTCTCTCTGGTCTCTCTCTGGTCACTCCCACTGGTCTCTCTCTCTCTGGTCTCTCTCTCTCTGGTCTCTCTCTGGTCACTCCCACTGGTCTCTCTCTCTCTGGTCTCTCTCTCTCTGGTCTCTCTCTGGTCGCTCTCTCTCTCTGGTCACTCCCACTGGTCTCTCTCTCTCTGGTCGCTCTCTCTGGTCTCTCTCTCTGGTCTCTCTCTCTGGTCCCTCTCTGGTCACTCCCTCTGGTCTCTCTCATCATTGGTCTCTCTCTGGTCTCTCTCTCTGGTCATTCCCTCTGGTATCTCTCTTTCTGGTCTCTCTCTGGTCTTTCTCTCTCTTCTTAAATAATATTATTCATGGAACAAGAGAAAGATGCATTTACCTACAGGTACAAACCTTGAACCTGAACCTTATACTGACTAAAACCAATACATTATTTACCATTATTATAATTTCTTCCTCTGTCTATAACAAAAATCCTTGGGGTCAGTATCCGTCGTCTCCCCCTCTGGCTGAAGTTCGTGCTGTGACTTTGCCTCCTGATTTATGCAGAGATGTCTCCCTCGTCTCGGCCCCTCGTCCCGTTCAGAGCACACACAGACTCCATCTCTTGAGTAAGCTCCAAGGCAAACACCGCTCTGATTAAAACAAACACGCCCCACAGACAGACAGCGCTGCACCAGGCCGCGGCTCTCTCTGGTCTCTCTCTGGTCTCTCTCTGGTCTCTCTCTGGTCTCTGAGCCTCATCCGGTGAGAGACAGAGAGAACACGTCAGAGCAGAGAAAGGGAAAAGAGCAGAAGAAACTGGAGACTGTAATGGCTGAATGGCTGTTTTGCCGAATGCATTGACATCTTGAAATGTAATGGTCGCTGGTCTCTCTCTGGTCTCTCTCTCAATTCTCTCTCTCTGGCCTCTCTCTATTTTCTCTCTCTGGACTTGCTTTCTCTCTGGTTCCTCTCTGGTCTCTCTCTGGTCTCTCTCTGGTCTCTCTCTGGTCTCTCTCTGGCCTCTCTCTATTTTCTCTCTCTGGACTCGCTTTCTCTCTGGTTCCTCTCTGGTCTCTCTCTGGTCTCTCTCTGGTCTCTCCCGGTCTCTCTCTCTGTTCTCTCTCTGGTCTCGCTCTCTTGATTCTCTCTCTCAGGCCTCCTTCTATTTTCTCTCTCTGAACTCGCTTTCTCTCTGGTTCCTCTCTGGTCTCTCTCTGTAACACACGGCCCCCTAAGACACGAAAACCCAGGAGCAGAGACGCCAGGAGAACGAAAAATAATTCCAAGCCTTTATTTGGCAAAAACAAAGTAGCAAACTTAGGTAGCACTCCAGAGCTCAGAACATGAGGGAAACAAAGACAATCTGGCAAAGACCAAAGGAACAGGTGGGGTGATATACAGAGTAATCAAACACAGGTGCAACACATTAGGGCGGGGCAAACAAATCACAGGCAGGAAACAGGGAGTGATGTAAATCTAAAGCATAGCGAACAGGTAAGTATTTCAAAATAAAATGTCCAATAAACCAGGGGTATGACACTCTCTGATCCCTCCCGGTCTCTCTCTCTCTAGTCTCTCTCTCTGGTCCCTCTCTGTTCTCTCTTAAGTCTCTCTCTGGCTTCGCTCTATCTTTAGCATAATAAATAAATAAGTTTTTAGAGCAGTAACCTGGACAAGACCTTGATCAATGCACTTTATGAATATGCACTCATTGCTATCGTTTCAATACCAACACAATAAAATACAAAAAATGTGTTGACTCCTAAACCGAGGCCTATGGAAGGAATAGTTTGGACGTTTCATCCACGGACCGTCTGGATTGAATCTTTCTGACCATCTGGGCTCCTTCGCATCAGACTATTCCATGTTATTCCCGTGTATTGTGTGAACTTTTCCTTTCCTTTGTCCACGTTCGCCCTTCACGTCCGCCTCCTTCCTTTGATGCCAGCGTATCGCCCGTCACACTTCTGCTTTATCTGCCGCTCTCTTCTCTCTCCGGCTCCGTCCGTCTTTCCGATTATCCACACCACTCATTTAGACCCAGACCGAAGCCATCTCTTGCGCATCCTCCGCCCGCCTTTTATGTCAACCCTGGCAAAAAGTTGATCTATTTCCCCTCTTCTCATCCCGTTGATCTTTCGGGCAAACAAACGCCAGCCAAAAGACGGGGAAGCGAGGTCGGGACAGACAAGCAGACAAGCCACCAAAAAAACCCCAAGACATCTGCAAGGGTCTGGGGCATTAGGACCAATATCCGTTCCAATCCCCCTTTGCCTTCAACCTTCAAGAAAAGCTTTTAGCCACATTTTAGCGCACAAAAGCCAAGCGCTGGCCTTTGTAGCCTGAGCTTCTATTTAAGAAGGTGAGGGTGAGGATTCAGGAAGAAATCAATAAAGTGTCCCGCCGCTCAAGCTTCTCGGGCCAAAATGTCGACAACTGCTTTTGGAGGGTTAAGAGAGAAAGTGGGAAAGAGGGAAAAGGATCGGGAAGCGGAGGAGTTTGTTATTTTTAATAATGTAAATATATGTATACGAGAGGTTTTCTACGATGGATTCAACTCCATTGCAACTGTTTAAGGCAGAGGGCGAATGAGAGCAGAGAGAGACCAGAGAGAGAGCAGAGCGAGAGAGACCAGAGGGAGAGACCAGAAAGAAAACAGAGAGAAAGAAAAGTACAAGATTGAGACCAGATAGACACCAGACATAGACCAGAGAGAGGGGGACCAGAAGGAGAGACCAGAGAGAGAAAAGAGAGAAAGATAGGGTCCAGAGAGAATAGAAAGAGAACAGAGAGACCAGAAAGAAAGAGACCAGGAAGAGATCAGCGAGAGAGACCGATGACTTGAAAATGAAAGAGTATTGATTACGTTAAATACATTGATTACATTAGAGAAACAAAACATTGTCCTGATTCGTTGAGACCGCTGTAAAACCATGTGTCACAGAAAACTGTTTGCTTGTTTGTTTCTTTCTTTCTTCGGTTTGTCTGGTGCAAGAATTCATGGTCCTGACGTGGCCTTTAGGAGGCCGCAGGTCTTAGAAGTCAATCAGAAGTGGACTGACGAGTGCTAAGGAGTAAGACCAGACTCATTAAGGCCAATTTTGTTGGTAGCAACTGCAAAGTTAACAATGCCGAGAATCTGGACCTGAGAATGGGTTTATCACAGCAGAGCGGCACGGTGGCTGAGTGGATAGCACTCTCGCCTCTCAGCAAGAAGGTCCTGGGTTCGATTCCCAGGAGTTTGCATGTTCTCCCTGTGTCTGCGTAGTTTTCACTAAAAACCTGTACAGGTCTGGCATGCGCCTTCTGTACTGGCGACCCCGCTCCCATCTCTGTGTGGAGTGAGAGGACAAATGCCGAAAAATAACAATTGTAAACCGCTTTGTGACTCTGATCTGTGAAAGGCGGTATATAAATAAAGAGTACTTACTTACTTAGCAGAGGCAAAAAAAGCGTATAAGAATTCAAGCACAATCACACATCCTTATAGAGACATTTTATGGAGAAAATAGATACAGGATGGTATTTATAACACAAGTACATGTAATTAATGTGTACATGTAAGTAAATGTTTGTGAAATAAAATAATCTCATAAGTAAACTGTGGACTTTGAATATTGTGCTTCAAATACTCTCTCTGGTCTCTTTTGGCTTTCTCTCTGGTCTGCCTCTGGTTTCTCTCTGGTCTCCCTCTGGTCTCTCTCTGGTCTCTCTCTGGTCTCTCTCAAGTCTCTCTCAAGTCTCTCTTTGGTCCTGCTCCCATGTCTCACTCTAGTCCCTCTCTCTGGTCTCTCTCTTGTCTCTCTCTTGTCTCTCCCTGGTCCCTCTCTCTTGTCTCTCTGATCTCTCTCCGGTCTCTCTGTTGTCTCTCTCTAGTCTCCCTGATTTCTCTCTGGTCTCTCTTTCTGGTCTCTCTCTTGTCTCTCCCTGGTCTTTCTCTTGTCTCTCTCTAGTCTCTCTGATCTCTCTCTGGTCTCTCTCTGGTCTCTCTCTGGTCTCTCTCTGGTCTGTCTGGTCTCTCTGGTCTCTCTCTGGTCTCTCTCTGGTCTCTCTCTGGTCTGTCTGGTCTCTCTGGTCTCTCTCTGGTCTCTCTCTGGTCTCTCTCTGGTCTCTCTCTGGTCTGTCTGGTCTCTCTGGTCTCTCTTGTCTCTCTCTGGTCTCTCTCTGGTCTCTCTGGTCTCTCTCTGGTCTCTCTGGTCTCTCTCTGGTCTCTCTGGTCTCTCTCTGGTCTGTCTGGTCTCTCAGGTCTCTCTCTGGTCTCTGTGTATTATCAGTTTAGTATTTGTATAAAACTAGACAATAGTTGTTCATCTCCTCTTTTCAAACCGTTTCCCTCCAACTTTATCTGCGTTGACTTTTCTCCATTGAGGAGAGACACAGGCGACGAGTCGACGACACAGAAATCAGGTGGGATGACAGAGCGGGAGGATAAGGCCCTGTAAGACCGTCTGATTCCTACTTTAATCCCCAAATACATGCAAATATGCACTTTCACTCAGCCTCACGCCCAAAAACACATTTATCTACCAAATATATGCCTCCTCACACCGCTCCATTCACACAGCGACAGAGGGGGGGTGGCAAAGTGGGGGGGTCTGTTTTGACAGTTGTGGTCTGCAGCGTCAAATGACAAA